GATTTAATATCAGCTGATGGTACAAGAAAATTCTTACTGAGTAAATTTTCCTTGTAAGAATTTGCAAATACTCAGTAACACAACTGTCAAATCTGCTCTCTCAATTCACTCTCTTTTACTGGACTTTTGGGTAAACGAACAACATTTTGTAATAATTTGTACAAATTCGTACAAATTATTGAGTAAACGAACGAACCTAATGTTACAACAAACAAATGAAGAAATGTAACAAGGGAAACAAACAGGGAATGGAATACAGAATACCAATTAGAAAACAAATTGATTTTTATTATTTATCAAAAAACTCACAACACCAATGAGCACAGACAAATCAAAAATAGATTATAAACACTGTTAACACTTTTTAAGATTCACAAACGGGTTAAAAAAAAAACACAAAATAAATATTTTTAATCAAAAACAGGAGCACGACAAAAATTTATCAACAACCACGACAGGGTTGCCAAACGGTTTTCCTAAAATTAGTCACCACGTAAAACTGATGTTGCCTTTCAGAAGTAATTTCTTTTTATTTATTTTAACGAAGTATTAAACGGTGCAATTTGTGTGAAATGTTTAAAGAATTAATAGGTTCTAACATTTTTTTACAATTAACTGAAGTTTTCAATTAAACGGTTTGCAATTGAGCGGATTCGACTGTATTTTAATAAATGCAATTCAAAGCCTCCATACCGTGAAACAATAAATTCTTAATGATATCTTAAAAGGTATTATTCTTAAAAAAAAATATTTTTTAATGTTTGTCAAATGACTAACTCAAGTACATTCAAGTACATGTACATATACAGTAAAACATCGATAATCCAGACTGCATTTCACAACTTATTGTTCTTTTTGACTCTATAACCCGGATTGCGAAGCTACATTATTTTTATACCCTACGCAACTATATATTGTCAAAAGATCGGTCAATATTTAGCGGGTCAAGTGGACCCTGACTTTTGTGTGAAAAATTCCAAAATTTGTATTCCCGAGAAGTTGATAGTATACTCAAAGGGAATGGTTGACCTTTAAATTGGCATACATATTATATTGTCGTATGTACTCGGATGTGGGAGTCCACTTAAATATTTACAGGTGCCTACGTATTCATATATCATTTAGTAATGGTATTTTTACACGATATGTATTTTACATATGTGCTGTCACTTATTTCATCCATATGTGTCAAAATTAGCGGCGTACACAAAACATTTATTTTTGTGTTCAAATCGGCATATGTATTTTACATATGACATAACCTATAAACAAAAAAAAAACACTTTTATTTTTTCAAACAAACGAAATAATAATTTGTATATGTTGCCTTTTCATCCTTTTCTTTGACTTGCAATTGAAATATTTTCTTCCAACAATAGGTTCGTTCGTTTACTCAATAATTTGTACGAATTTGTACAAATTATTACAAAATGTTGTTCGTTTACCCAAAACTCCAGTAAAAGAGAGTGAATTGAGAGAGCAGATTTGACAGTTGTGTTACTGAGTATTTGCAAATTCTTACAAGGAAAATTTACTCAGTAAGAATTTTCTTGTACCATCAGCTGATATTTAATCAGCTGTTTTGCTATATTTTGTAAACAAACAAAAAAATTGTCTTCAACCAAATTGATTGTTTTGTGAATTTTATATTGATTTTGTATTATTAAAATTGATGAAGAAAACGCAAGTATTGGTAAACAACATACATTTTCCGCTTGTTATCCATTTTTCTAATAAAAATGCTGTTTTTTAGTTTGCGCCAATTTGTTTGTTGTTTTAATCAGCTGTGTCGAAACAATCTTTTTACTGGATGTTGTTCGTTTACTTTTTGCAGTTTTCTCTCTTGAGAAGGAAAAATTCGTATTTACTCTCTGCAAATTCTTACTGAGTAAATATTACTGGGAAAGTAAACGAACGAACCTAATGTGTTTCATTCAAACAGCTGATTTCCTTATGTTTCACATACGAAAATAGAGCGCGTCCTATTCGGAAAAAATACATATGTAATTGCATATCGTTTTGACACATTGAAATTTCCGTATGTTTCACATGACGAGTTCGATTTCCATATGCAAAAAAGTGACAGCACATATGTAAAATACATATCGTGTAAAAACACCATAACTCATTACCACACTAGAGGGCGAAAATAAAGCACTGATCGCTTTGAAATTTTCCATGCGGATCCAGGCATGGTCAAAAACAACGCCTATAATTTTCGATGATGATCAGATAATACTATTGGGATGAAGTGGACCGAATACTTAATTTAATTAATTTTTTGTTTTTTTTTCGAGTCGATCTATAGGCCACAATTGACTTATTGTCATTTTAAAGGCATTTCTCTATCATTTCTTCTACTTTATGGACATTTTCGACGACCGGCCTACCGGGCGAGGTGCATCTTTAACATCAAAAATTCCTGAACGGAATGTATGAAACCAAAATTACACATAATTGGCTGTTACAGTATCGGAACCATAAACACCATTCACAATTTTAGCCGCTTGCCTTGCATTTTCGCCTTTGTCAATGAAAAACTCTAAAATGTACCGAATTTTCTCTTTGTTCACTTCCATTTTTAACACCCTGTAACCCACTACTGAAAGCACCAAACAAAAAACAGCAACATATTTTTTTACTGCGAAATGTCACACTTCCAACGAGCATAAATCTGAAATTGATTGGTCGATACTTTACGAGAAATCTGTCAGTACAACCAGTAATGGATTTCTTTTTCCCCAAACTAATATATATATATATATATACAGTGGTGGTCACAGAATTAAAACATTTACTGTGGTAAACATTTTTTGACCAGCCTTCGATTCGTTTGAAGTATTTTTGAAATTTTTTTATTTCAGAACACTTCGATATACTGCACTTAAGAGATTTAGTGTGAAAATAGAAAATTATTCCATGCAATTTTTCCATAAATAATGGTTTTTATGAAAATATATCGACTTTAAAGTGGCCATATAATTAAAACATTGTGTGATTTTTAAATTGACTGCATTTTTTGAAAATATTTTTAGAAAAGCTCCTTACTTTAGTTAAATTATGTGAACTAAGCACCGATAAAATCATTTACAGATAAAAAATTTTGAAAAAAGTCAGTAAAATCTATCAAAATTGTCAAAAAATTGTACAGTACACCTTACATTCAGAAAATCACCCTTATTATAAAAAATAAAGGTCCGGATGCACCAGAAATTTCTAGAATTAGTAGAAAACAATAAATAATTCGCAAAATAAATAAGTATTTGAAATAAAAACTCAAAAATGGGAATTAACCTAAAGGAACGATTCAATTTCAATAGCCTTTACTGAAGAAGGCCGAAATATTTTTGCAGTATGTGAGAAAATATCGATTGATATTTGTATTTATTATATCAAATCGATTGTTCGAGTAGTACAGAATATATTTTATCAAAAAATATATCAGTCACAACAGAACGAACAGAGATCAACGCCTATGTTGACGAGTAAAAGTTTCTAGCACACAGCAGCATGTTTGATGGTGAACTCTTGACCCTTAAAATCTATTGAACATGACAATATTTTTCCAAAATAATATTTTTTGAATCGAATATCTTCCATCGAATATCTTCCATCTATTTTAGTATCAAGGAATGAAAAATTTTACAATTTGACAAATATTTGAAGTATTGTGTTGAACATCAAAAATGCTGCTGTGTGCCAGAAACTTTTACTCGTCAACATAGGCGTTGATCTCTGTTCGTTCTGTTGTGACTGATATATTTTTTGATAAAATATATTCTGTACTACTCGAACAATCGATTTGATATAATAAATACCAATATCAATCGATATTTTCTCACATACTGCAAAAATATTCCGGCCTTCTTCAGTAAAGGCTATTGAAATTGAATCGTTCTTTTAGGTTAATTCCCATTTTTTGAGTTTTTATTTCAAATACTTATTTATTTTGCGAATTATTTACTGTTTTCTACTAATTCTTGAAATTTCTGGTGCATCCGGACCTTTATTTTTTATAATAAGGGTGATTTTCTGAATGTAAGGTGTACTGTACAATTTTTTGACAATTTTGATAGATTTTACTGACTTTTTTCAAAATTTTTTATCTGTAAATGATTTTATCGGTGCTTAGTTTACATAATTTAACTAAAGTAAAGAGCTTTTCTAAAAATATTTTCAAAAAAATGCAGTCAATTTAAAAATCACACAATGTTTTAATTATATGGCCACTTCAAAGTCGATATATTTTCATAAAAACCATTATTTATGGAAAAATTGCATGGAATAGTTTTCTATTTTCACACTAAATCTCTTAAGTGCAGTATATCGAAGTGTTCTGAAATAAAAAATTTTCAAAAATACTTCAAACGGATCGAGGGCTGACCAAAAAATGTTTACCTCAGTAAATGTTTTAATTCTGTGACCACCACTGTATATATATTGACGACTGAAAACAACGAATATGTATTTGCAATTTTTCAGCTTTTCATAATTTTTATATTTGTATGTTAGGCTAACCATATCGACGAACATAGTTGTCCTAAGCTAAGCTAAGCTTTTACAATGTGTTTCCACTCGATGGCGCTGTTTAATATTATTATTCACAATTTTTTTATTATATTTTAGCAAGTCATAAATTTTGTTTTCAACTGAAAAATTTATTACTCGTTTTATTAGTGATTCGTCAAATTTTTGATTTTCTAGACCGTTAACATAAATCCATCACCAATGATTTATGATTACGATTAGAAATATAATATCTTTTTTTATAAAATATGAGATATAATAAATATGTTATCTACGACAGTTTACACTTAACAAATCCATACTAATTGTTAGGTAAACTTCACAAATGTACACACAATCGTCATTGCCGACGGAAGAAAGGTGTTTTCAAAATTATAGCAACACTTATTTGCATACAAATCACGTGCCATGTTTTAACTAATTAACAATGAAACCAGATAAGCTATTCAAAATTGTTCTTGATATACTCTTACCATCCAATGAATCTCCAAAAGCACTGTGTGTTGGCACATGTTGATGTGTACGTTGATTTTGATGACTACTACTAGTGGATTGTTGTTGGTGGAGATAATCTCCGCGTTCTCTTTCCATATCGGAATTGTCTGCAGTACTCGTACGACTATATGAGTTAAAATGATTAGTAACGTCGCCGGGACTTGATCTCGGAGTAATGTCAATCATTTCATCATCATCTTCAGGTGTAGTAAGCGATGTTGTTGCTGCACTGTTTGATGGAGCTGCTAATGGATGGTCTGAATTACTAGTATCGCCAGCGGTATGACCGTTCGACTGAAATTAAATAAAAAGATAAATATGTGTACGATTATAAACGAAACGTTAGTGAATTGGGTAGGTATCTATGTACATATGAAATCTCTTAATTAGTCATGAAAGGCTTCGAGAGCTTTAATATTATAAACGATAAAGATCTTGTTTATTTCTTATATCAAAATACACGTTTTCCTACAAGAGGTGCAAATTTGAATTACCCGATATTTCGGCTGTTGTCACTTAAAATGGAACGCATTAAAATTCACCACAGTACGTAAACAAAATCATTTAGCCTTGATAATAACAAAAATATTAAGAAATTTTAAGTGATTAATACACTTTCGAGTCGAGCTTGATGATCTAAGTTTTGCAATGAAAAGGAAAGCCAGAAGAAGAACCTACGTACCCAAGTATGCAAGTTTCGCATCAGGGCGGAATAAATACAAGTTATCAACGTACGACCTTTGTAAAGCCACATAGCCCAATATGCCTGATGAGCCGCTTAACCAACGGCGAAACGCGTCGCATAATGGTGGGTACGTAGGTTCTTCTCCTGGCTTTCCTTTTCATTACAAAACTTAGATCATCAAGGTTTACCCAGGTTTATACATTTCTAAAAAAAAACACTATTCCAATGTATTTCTCATAAAGTTTGTCGTGAGTATATCGACGGCATATGGCAGTCACTTTGCAATTGGTTACGTAAATTTTCATGAAAAACGGGCTTGCGGTGGTTCGTTTATATCGTTTTTTTATTATTATATATAACGGCATATCTTCCTATTTAACATTAAATAAACACCCAATCATTGATCTCGAAAATGTCATGCTTATTCGAATACATCTTATTGCTTTCGGTTTATTGAAACAAAAAAGGTGTATTTTACAGAAAAAATACTCCGTAAGTTCTTTTCTGAGAGTAAGAGATATTGTTACAAAATATCGAGTATGCAGACTGACATATTAAACCAGTAAGGAATGTAGTAAAGTCGGACGGGGCCGACTATATGATACCCTTCACCACTATGGGTATATTAAACAGGACTATTAACATGAAATTGGATGAAATAAAATACGTGTTATTTATCTAAATGTGAATCTACCTAGATCTATCCATAAACATGTCATTCATTTGTTACAATGGCACAGAAGTATGTAAATTGACTTCAAACAAATATCAATAGTTCATCCGTTGGGCTATGTCTGTACTTCTAGAAAACGAAACTACGTAATTCTATGCTCAATTTTGTACGTTGTGCAAAATCTGATGTCAATCTGACTAACATGAGGAGTTTGATGCCAAATTTACCTAAAATTGGGCGAAAAAATTTATCCAAATATGAACCGATTTCAACGAAACTTGTCACAGGTTAGGTTATACTAATTTCAGTACGTTAGGTTATACTAATTTCAGTACGTTAGGTTATACTAATTTCAGTACGTTCCTATCAGCCATATATTGGTTCATAAAAACCAATTTATAATATAAGGGAGCTATATCTAAATCTGGACCGATTTTCACAAAACATGGCACACATCATTCTAGGCTTAATTCAGTATGTTATGTCAAATTCCGTGCAAATCGAAAGATATATGTGGACTATAGTGCACCATTTACATGAAATCTAAATCTGGACCGATTTTCACGAAACTTGGCAGACAAAATTCCAGGCTTAATTCAGTACGTTGTACCAAATTTCGTGCAAATCGAAAGATATATAGGGACTTTGGTGCAACATTTACATGAAATCGGACGAAGCTATATCTAAATCTGGACCGATTTTCACGAAACTTGGTATACGTCATTCTAGGCTCAATTCAGTATGTTATACCAAATTTCGTGCAAATCGACAGATATATAGGGTCTTTGGTGCACCATTTACCTTAAACCGGACGAAAATATATATGGGAGCTATATCTAAATCTGAACCGATTTTTCCCAATTTCAATAGGGTTCATCCTTGGGCCAAACAAATGAGCTATGCCAAATTTCATCCAAATCGGTTCATAAATGCGACCTGTACTTTGTTTACAATTTAACACCAACAGACGGACAGACGGACGGACATGCATAAATCGACTCAGAATGTGATTCTATGAATATTCTCAAAAGGAACTATGGGCCTGTCTCGTTTCCTTTTGCCTGTTACAAACATATGCACAAAGACATAATACCCTGTACCACAGTGTGGTGAAGGGTACAAAAAGGTAGGAGAAGTTTTTCGATATAGTTGTTAAGGCACTTGAATAGGGTTTTTATCGATATACGTTCCACTTACGCTAATTTCAATATGAAAATAAATTTTTCAAAGTCGCTAATTTTTTTATTTTTATAATATATTTTATTTGTTCGCACTCATCTGAAAATGTTGAACGTATTCAAAATCTGAAATCATAACTACAGACGTTACAATTAAATATCGATGTAATTATATAGAAAAGGAAATGCGTTCCTAAATTCTATACACATTTTTTTTTAAATCGGCTCAAAAATCATATAAAAAATTGTAAAAGTCCAACGTCTAATTATGGGAGAAGATCATTATAATGTAACCATAATTTGTAAAAATGAGTATAACTTGTTGTACATCAATGAGTGGAAATGTAATATAACTCAAAATATCGACTTAAAATAAATTGTTTTAATTGTCCTCGTTGTTTAGACATGCAATATTTCGCTCATTTGCTGCAAGAGAGGCATAACCCGATTTTCGTGTTAATGAAGCACGATTGTTAAAACGGATTTTCTGCAAAATTAATTTTTTTTTTTTTTTTTTTTTTTTTGAGTTATGCCTGTCTTGCAGCAAGTGATCTATTTGTAAGCAACTCTACCAAGTTCTTAGGGTATCTATTTAACCATGTAATTTAAAATATTTCAATTGTAAGTCGAGAATTACAATTTAAATTCATCACAATCAATTTGAAAGACTTGAATTGCAATTCAAAATATATTACCAATTGTAATTCACATTTTTTTCAATTGTAATTCACAACATAAAAGAATTTCAAAGGAAAATTGAAAGAATTGTTTAACCCTTTAATTATTGGCTTCTTCTTTTTGGCTGAAAAAAAAAACTCAAGGCGATCGATTTCAAGCTCAGAATGAAGGAAAAATTATTAAAAAATAAATTGTTATGTATACATTTATTAAATAAAATTAAAAACAACAAACACGGTAATGCAAAATTCTACAATACCAATTTTTTTTAATTAAAACTTTTTCTGAAATCGATTTTAAAGTAACAGGAAAATGTGTTAGAAACCTTTCTAATTCTTTTTTATCTTTCATCACAAAAAAAAAATCGAAATCGCTTTTAATCGCAGATTTTACTAATAAGGACAACTGCGGACTTTAACCACGTTATAAATAGGAAATACGATTTTCCTAGTTAGGTTTTCGTCATTGTGGCATTAATCATTAATTCATTAATCAATCATGTTGATTAATGCTTAAAAAACACCGTCTCAAAACAATATTCAGACATATTTTGCGATCTGACGTACATGTGTTTTATCTACTTAGAATAGAATAACTTATTAGAGAATTTCTATCAATGGAATTTATCAAAATTAATTAATTAATCAATACAACAAACACTTACCTTTTTTAACACAGACTGATATGCCGTTATATAGCTATTTCCCTCTGCAGCAATTTCACGATTACCCTTCAAAGGAAACTTTTCCATAACGATTGGAATCAATCAATGCATATCTGTAAAAATAAAAGTGGGCGGATGTAAAAGACGTCGTCTATTGGCATACACACTACTCGGTCGAGTGTTTGTTTTGTTTGCAGCGGAAATATTTTTTTCTGTATTCGTGATAACACTACTAACAGACGGACATATGTTTGCTTCTTTCTTTGACTTAATGATTCAATCGCAGTATTTAATTTATATTAATTCAATAAACAATCGACGGGGACATTACACCCATACACACACACATTCCTACATACTAAGTATGTGCAAATGAAAGGTCTGTCGAGAGTTTGCTGCTGCTATTGTTCATTCTATTACTGCAACAAAAGAAATGTACTTCCACTGATTTCATGTAGATACGAAATGCACTGTTCAATTGTGGGCTTTCCTCAAGTCCTGACGTACAACTTTGTTTATAATACCAAAGCCAAAAATCACACTTATAACGTACACATAATAAAGTCGAACAAAACAATTGTCTTATATTTGTTTGTGGTATTTCTTTTGCAAAAAATTGTAATTCTACCGAAAGAATTGTATGACGTGCTAAAAATGTAAAAAAGTTAGTAGAACAAAAAAAGTTGTCAAAAGAACGTCAAAATATTCACTAGTTACTGCTTTAACGTATCGTAACGTACATAGCTTTTATTGTACACTCATGTGATCCGTACGATATGTTGTACGATGTCTTGAACGAAACTGTCAAAAGGTGTGTCCGGTTACTTTTCCAGTAACATTTATTCAGTAAGTTCTAGTTCGGAGAGTAAGCCGTTTTTAGTCTCTTTTGCTCTTTTACTGAGAAAAGTAAACAGACAACATTTGGTAAGATTTAGTAAATAAACAGCTGTTTCAAGAAAACATTTGATTTGCGCCAAAATAAACAAAGGACGAACACAATTATTTGTATTGCATTTAATATTAAAAATATAATGAATAATAAAAGAAAAATTGATTTGGTATGTTCCCCGGGAATATTTAAGCTTCCTGCATCAATACATTACCCTCTATCTGGAACTTGCATAAAAATATATAAGGAATTAGTTTCTAATTTAATGAAACTTTGCATTACTTACGAATTTTCTTCCATTTTATACAACTTAACTTCAAATTGAACTTTGCAAATTAAAAAAAATGTTTTGAATAATTGGGGGGGTGGATTGGGGTTCTTGTTTGGAATCTGTTATGTTTTTTTTACTGTTATGTATTTTTAATTTATTTAGTTTATTCTTTGTTTGGATTTTTATTTTTTTTTTATATATATATAAGTCAATATAAGTTATAGGCCATGCTGGCTTTTTTATATTACATTGTATGAAATAAATGAAATGAAATTATTGTGTATTGTCATAAAACAGCTGATCAAAAAATGCTGAGTTTGCAAAATTCTTTCAGTAAACTCCAGTAAGTTTGTTGTTGTTCAACTGTCAAACGTGCTCTCTCACTTGACTCTCTTTTACTGGATTTTTGTGTTAACAGACAACATTTAGTAACATTTGGTAACAATTGTTACCAAATATCGAGTTAACAGACAGAGCTAAAATAATTCACTTGCTTCATAGCAAGCATGGCACAATGAATAGGTTCTCTATTTAGCGCAGCTGATGTCTTCATTAACTGTCAAAGTGGGTAATTTTTACTTGAATTCGATGTGCAGTGTTGCCAACCATTTGAAATATTATATGGAAAAAATTGACAGATAATCGAGACAAAAACAACAATGTTATAGAAATTAAATTGTCATGCTGACAATAAGTTTTTGACAAAAATAAGCAAAAACAATTATGAATTTATTTTTGTCAAGAACTATTCTTTGAGGAACAATTAATGAATTTGTGTATTCTTGGGTTATTGGCGGTTTTAGGTCAGTGAAAAAAGTTTAAGACCTGTAGGCCTATTCTGTAACTTTTAACAAAATTTCTTTTGTTAAAAGTTTCTTTTGTTATTGTAAAAACAATAAAATAAACAAATGAAATTGTTGTAAAATAGACAATATCGAATGTTGTTAAAAAGTTACAGAATACAGGGGCTGGTCGGGATTAATTTTAAGTTTCCCACATGTATCCCATGGCTCCTTGTGATGTTGTTTATATTGTGGATTGCAATCTATTTTTTCTATGGAGTGGCTTCAAATCTTGCCATCTAAACACTAGAACGCCGAAGGCGGTCATTTTGACCGCTTCCAATTTCAAGTACAAAAGCAACTGTGCATTTAATGACACTTTTTTTAAAAATTTGGTGACTTTTTGTACCTCATAGAATTACGTTTATTATAAAAAATTCACCACACATAACATAAAGATACCAATCGGCGAACGGGGTTATAACTGAGCCTAGGTTTCCTTTCCATCCACCTCTATGAATGTAGTTTTCTTTAATTTTTATAATTAAAAAAGCCACCGAAATGTAATATTCAAAATGTTTTTGACAATTTGCTTTACAAACAATAAAGAAAAAAGTTTGAAACCATATGATTGTCACTTACAACTTATTAAATACACCTTGCTTCATAGCTTTCGAATCGACTGTAAAGACACGAATTAATTATTTGAAATATATATATATATATATATATGTTTGAAATATATATATATATATATATATATCAAACATTTTTATTTTATTAAGAAATTCACACCACACAATATATATATATATATATATATATATATGTTTGAAATATATATATATATATATATATATATATGTTTATATATATGAAATATATATATATATGTTTGAAATATATATATATATATTGATTATTTTTTTCATTCGTATTTTTACAAAATAAAATTTGACAAGATATTATAAATACTCATACATTTATTTTTATACGCAAACATTTGATTGTATTCATGGTATAATTATTACAAGGTAGGGCACAGCTACCAACTGATTACAATTTGTCTCAAGGTGGCTTGTTCCATCAAATCAAAATACATATTTTGCCAAAATATAAAATAAATATACCCAAAAAGTGGTTGTGTTTAAATTTGAATATATTTCAATATGTATCATGGCATAATTATACAAGGTAGTCTCATGCAGTCATATGTTTCCAATTTTTTCATAAATTTTGCCGCTGACAGTATTCAGCTTTAAAAATTTAAATGAGAATATCTTCCTTCGAAATCATATGTTCCGTGGCAAAAATTGCTAAATAATTTATATTTATAAATATTTTGAAGTTTCCTGCATCTAAAAGTTATCAATATAAGATGCACGTGTGACCTCTTCTGCCAAAAACAAAATAAATATACGAAAGAAGTGTTTGTGTTTATTTGAAATTTTTTCAACACAAAACTAAAAACGCGAAAAATGAATGAAATGTTATGATTTCTTCCCAAAATCCAGTAGGGAATAACATAAAATTGTTTGTTTCATCCATAACAAAGTAATTACTTCCAGACGAACGTGTTAAAAACTTTATTTTCATTTCAATTAAAATTGAATATATTTCAATTTATTTGACATTGTATTCAACACAATACACACACATACACAAAATATGTATTTTGATTTGATTGAACAAGCCACCTTGAGAAAAAATTGTAATCAGTTGGTAGCTGTGCCCTACCTTGTAATAATAATACCATGCTCACAACCATGGTTAAATCTTGAGAGCAGTGTTCAGCTTTGCAAAATATATTTGTTTAATTAATTGAAAAAATCCCATATTATTGTGAATTATGTAAGTGGCAACACATATATTTTATCTTAATTAGAGATCCCTATATTGATCATTTACAATGTGATGTAGATGTAATTTATGGTTACCTTGAAGAGAAATAAATATTGATTACTTATTAGATTAATCTAGAATTAGAATTATCTAGAAATAAAATTATCTGGAATATGTAAGAAATAGATAAAGGAGGTTGCAACATAGCGGGGTTTTACATTTATCGGGATTGGTGTTGAGAGTTTCTCTCTCTTGAGAGAATAATTAGAGTTGCTTTATTTTTAATTTTGTAACAAGCGTACTTTTTGTTCACAAAAGGTACGAATTGACATAAACGTACCTAAACAAAAATTAGATTTTTTATTATTCGTGAATACATTTACGCTTAAATTATAACATATATTATTTATGCATATAACTGGTATAAATATTGGCCAATATATCTCGATAATTATGATTTATTATCATTTGAAGTAGAATTTTAGGTACCTTTTCGTACTTTTTTGTTCCTACCTGTGGTAATGTTTTCCAACACAATTCACAATTTACCACTGAGAGGGAGAGAAACTCTAAACACCAATCCCGATCCCGATAAATGTAAAACCTCGCATAGAACGATCGTCTCAGTTATAAAGTAAAGTTTCTCTCAGTTATAAAGTGAAGGATGGTCGGTCTATAGATCCCTAACTGTTCAGTCGCGAATTTTTTATCAGTTCTTTTTCCCCCAGAATTTTGGAAAACTTACAAATTTAAAAGTTTTAGCGGGTATTCTATCAGAAGCCATAGTTCTGATGATACCTGCAACCCAAATAATATCATCAATGGAGTTGGGAAACTCTTTCCCACCTATTCACTCGCCGGCTGTTATTAATAATGGCACAAACAATAACAAACGTCAACGTCTAGAAAATGGAGAGCCTCCAACAGAGGTGGATATATCTAGTCTTCAATATGATCCAAACAACCAAAACAGATTTGCAATGTTTGCAGATCTAGAAATAGAAAGCACCCCACAGATGTATAATTCTGCACAGATGCAGGATGGTGTACCAACAATTACCTCAGATAGTCAACAACCCAACAAAACTTTTTATCCACCAATATTTTTATACAACATCAACGTTAAATGCCTAGTTGAACAATTAGAAGAGAAGTATCCTAAAATTATTTATAAAATCAAAAATACCGGGCTTAACAAATACAAGTTGTATTTAGTTGATTCAAATGCACACTCGGCAATGCTGGAAACTCTGCGCAAAAAATCTGTTCAAGCATATTCCTTTACGCCTAAGGAATTAAAACAAACATCATTTGTACTGAGAGGATTGTACCATGGTATTGAAATCGAATATAT